ATTGGGAAAAATGTAAATGCGAAATCCTGTGGATAGCAATTGCAGTTAGACTTATATACCGCTTCATAGGGCTTTCAGCCCTCTCTAAGCGGTTTACAGAGTCAGCATATCACCCCCACAGTCCTCATTTCACCCACCTCGGAAGGATGGGAGGCTGAGTCAACCTTGAGCCGGTGAGATTAGAACCGCTGAACTGCAGGTAACAGTCAGCTGAAGTGTCCTGCTGTACTGCACCCTAACCACTGCGCCACCTCGGCTCGGATGCGTTGGTGGAATCAGAAGATCTGCTAACAAGAAAAATACCATAGAAATATTAGTGTCACTGAAGAAAGCAGGGAGATGTCTGGAGAAATATCCAGGGGTGGGCTGCTACGGGTTCGCCTGGGTTCAGGAGAACCCATTGCTAACATTATGACTGGTTAGGAGAACCTCCAAATTCCGCCCCTAATTACAAGTGTAGGTTTATGCAAAAAGCTAAACTTGTGTTAAGAGCTAGTTTATGGGGCAGAATGTAATACCTATTCATTGTGAATGTCCAATTCACACTAAATTAGGGAAGTTGGATGACCAATGGTAGCCTGAACTGTTTTTCATTGTTATTAACTGTATGCAAAAAGCAAAGAAAAATATACAAAATTATAAAAAGAAAAGAAACAAACATACAACGTGAATAAATTGATGCCACAGTTCATTGCAGACATTCATCGCTGACTTATAATAATCCATTTTTTTAAATCATAAGTTTGTCTTTCTGAACAGTAAGTCTTTAGATTCTAAGTGCATTTTCTTTGTCCAAAACTAAAAAATAAAGTGTTAATTTCACTGCGCCTCCAGTAACAAGTAAAAGCATTTCAAAACATTTATTATTGGAAAGGCTGTAATCTAAAAAATTCAAACTGTTGATTTTTTTAAAAGAAAACCTGTTATTGGTTAAGACATGCAAGCAAAGCAAAAACACAGAAGAACTATACGTATCTAGTGAATTACTTAAAAAATTAAAAAGCAAAACAAGAGGGAATTTTAAAATTAATAAGAGCATTCTAGAAGCAACTTTCCCTTTCTCCACACACACACCCTTTCCCCAGCTATTAATTGTTACTTAATCCTACTTTGGACATTATTAACTCATTTCTGTTTGGATCATCTGAATTGTTATTACTAGTGAAATACGTTCCCCTGTACGCTTTTCCATTCAGACAGAATCGGTAGTTGAAATCTGAGAATAAAAACATTTTGCCCAAAGTGAATTCCAAACTTTTGCCGTTAGAGCATGACATAGCAGCAGCTTTCCTCTCTCACATCCACTTCCAGACAAATTCAGGGCTACAAAAAGATGCAACAATGCCAAATACAACACAGCAATTAAGTTTGCAAGATATTATCAACAATAAGATAAGTGGGATTTATTGGCTTTGGTTTGGTTTTTTTTACTTCATAGAAGTCATCTCTCATAATTCTCTGGTTTTCAGAGTACAAGGATCGGTCTGCTTTTCCTCAAATTTTGGGATGCAACCCTTAAGAGAGATGGTTTCCTGGTCCTCTATTATATCGAAAGGAAAAATGATGCCCCTCTTCTACCTTTAATAGGTTATTTTTGGTCTGCATTAAAAGGCATTGGCCATTGATTTGAGGGTTCCACCACAAAACCGCGTTCGACTAAAGCGTGCTCGACGAAACCGCGTAGCTGATGTCATCACAGTGCGATGAAAAAAGCACGCTGCGAACGCTAAAGCTAAAATTAACCTATTAAAGGTAGAAG